GTGTGTGTGTGTGTGTGTGTGTGTGTGTGTGTGTGTGTGTGTGTGATTGTGATTATATCGTATGATATTTTATCGTGATGTGTTCAGGATCTCTGTTACATTGTTAATGTTTTGGTTGTGCTGCATGAAAGACGTTGAGGGTGTATTAGGGAAGGTTAGTTACCGGAGCTGGAGAGTGAGTTATTCAGGCGAACTCTCAACAGCATCAACTGCCCCGTTACTGTAAAACCTTACTAAACCCTGGTGAAGCAAAATGTCTTGCGCTTAAGACTCTACATGAAAGTTAAAATATATATGTTCAGTGCACATAGATTTATAGTGTATATAGTTACATAGTTATACATATCACACAAAAATCCACCACAGTGCAGTGGGTCCTGGGATCCTCCTCCAAAACTCAGATCTTCAGGAAAGTACAACAAGTATGCTCTGACAGTTTTAATCTTTTCTTTGTAGAAAAATGGAGCCTACTCCTTTAAGGGCATGTCCTACGCTGCTCCACCTGTTGGTGGCCTGCGCTGGGCTCCTCCAGCTGAACCGGTATGCAAGAGTGGGGTTATCGATGCGGGCCACTTTCGCAGCATGTGTCCTCAGGTGAGGCCCTTGTCGAGCACGGGGAAGGTGATGGGCCAGGAGGACTGCCTGTTCATCAACGTGTGGACCCCCACCCTGCAGCCTGACGCCAAGCTTCCCGTCATGGTGTGGATCCACGGAGGATACCTGCACATGCTCAGCGGAGGAGAGAAGGGATACTCGCCTACGGAGAAGCTCGCCGCCGACACAAAAGTGGTTTACGTCAGCTTCAACTACAGACTCAATGCCTTTGGCTTTCTCGCCCTACAGATGCTGAGAGAAGGTTCTCCAAGAAACACCTCAGGTTAGTCGGTGATGCACAGCAGGACGAATGTGGAGTGTTTTACTGCAGCCAGCAAACAACTGGCTGCATGATATTTGTAGCCTGAAGCCTTAGCTGAAACAAGCTAATGAATATACATGTTGTGTAAGACATTTGTTAGATATCAGGAAAGGTTAAAGGAGACCTGTTCAACTCTTCCAATTTTCTGACCCTTATATAACCTGTTGCAATGGATTTTAACATGGTTAATGTCTCAAATAATGAGGTCACTGTGCATACAACTCTCCCCTGTGAGCCTAAAGGCTTCACACTAAACAAGCTTTTCCTACGTTTGCCTCTGTATGTTGTCAGTGACAGAGGAGATCTCAGCACCACAATTATGTCAGCGCACAAGCCCCGCCCACTGGCTTTTCATACCTTTTATTAGTTTTTTCAATGATCTGTAATATCAGTGACCTAAAATGAAGCTACGACACAGATTAGATGTCATGATCTGTCGGGATATGAGCGGAGCGTGGACCCAAGTGCAGGCAAACGGAGACCAGAACGGATAATGACAAAAAGTGAGTCTTTATTTTGGCTGCTACCAAACTACAAACAGGTGGAACAGGGAAAGCTAAGAAAACCTAAACTGGGAAAAACTAAGCATGGAATAACACCTGAAACTAGAAACAAGAAACTTGAAAACCTGGAAACGGGATGGAGAGCAGAGGTAATCCGGGGGTAACACAAACTATATATACACAGAGAGAAACGAGGAAATGGCGTACAGCAGGGAGACACAGCTGATCCTCCATAAACATTACGACACAGGGAGGAAGCAAAACAGAATACACTGACATAAGACACAGACCTTCAAAGTAAAACAGGAAACACGACACAATACGCAGCTGTGGGACACGGGAAAAGTACAGAGTAGACACGGGAACAGAGACTAACACAGGCGAAGATAAACACAAAGAGAGGAAGGACTATAATCACTAAGAACTAAAGGAAACCAAAACTATGAACAATATATCAAATTATAAAGTCAGAAATACAAGTACTGGGTCGCAGCCCAGTACAGTGACATTAGAATAAAGTGATAACACAACAGCTAACACTTCTGAAAAATGTAGTTCTTACAGAAGAACTTTACAAAAAGTTAAAAATTAAGTTTGGCATTATTTGCACTGAAATATAGACGGTATAAAAACAGACCGCTGTGAAATAGACTGAACAGCTATTGCCCAAATTTTAAATTCGACCTTGCAGCTCAATACAAAATCATAGAAATGCATATAAAAAAATATTGTAATAGTAGATCAGTCCAAGTTCATTATCTTGTCCACCTCTGCCTGAGCGCTCCGCACAGTCCTGAAACCTTGGCTACCGGGCTGTGGATTTCACTTCGTTTTTAAGCATCATATCAGTTCTCCACAGTCTGGGCTCCCTGCTCAGTTTAGCTACGTTCCCCTGCTGCTCTGTACAGACAGCAACCTGCTTGGTTTTCCACACGCTTGGTCACACACTGCCCGCTCTGCTCTGCATCCTCAGCCCGGCATTAATTATTCATATTTTACCTAGCTACGCTGCCTTAAATTCATTTATCAATCAGCTGTTGCTAGCTGTGAAAGGAAGAGCAGCCTTGTGTTGTTGTGTAAACGGGCGTGTTGCTAGGCAACCCAGCATGCCATAGTAATGGTTTTGCAATAATTTCTGTGGGGTAAAGATGACATCCTCTGCAGTTCTAGGTATAAGTGGTCATGTTTTCTTTTCGCAGCCCAAAACTCCATATTTGATAAATGAGCCTGAAAATACGAGCTTATTCCAGTATTTTCAAAATGCACAAATCTCCAGTTTAACATGAGTAAAAATTATTTGACCTGTCAAAGTAACTTAAGGAGACCAAGAGTAGAATATAAAGGTGTAGCTGATAATTATTCATCGACTTTAAATATAATCTGAAACTATAAGCTAAAATGGAATCATTGTACTATCTTTGCCTCACAAAGTGGCTTGAAGTAACTGTTGTGATTTGGCGCTATATAAATAAAACTGAATTGAGAAGCCTGCAGTGAGATGACCAAACGTTGGGTATTTATAACACGTAACAAAGATCTGAATATTAGAATTTTGAGTTAACACTGAAATATGATGCGTGATAGATTATACGAATCAACATATTTAAATCAGATATCTGTCCGACTGACTTGGAAAGCTAGATCGGGTCATTTCGGTGCTTTTGTGACAGCAGACTGATGAGAACACAAAGAGACGGAGAGTGTGAGTTTACCAACAGCAACACATGACAAGTCTGTCCACTTGGTCAGAGTGGTACTTTCACCTCATTCACTCTGCTGTCTGTGCTTACTAATGACGTTTTAAAACCACTCCATCGCTCACACAGTCTGGCTAAACTACAAAGCCTTTCCCTGTCACCATCGACCGCACGGTTAGCGTACGCAGCTGGCATGCGATGTGGAACCGAGACACAGCTTGCGCTCCGTCTTCAGGCCCGTTCTCATTATTGTTTGGTTCCCTCAGAGGTGAACCGTGAGCCATTTACTAAACAAATAAAGTGGAATAAAATGCAGCCGAGTTTGAACAAACAAACCTTTTTACATGCTCAGTTAAAGACCCTAATTAGCGTCGTGGAGTTTCAGAAGTAGTGACACTTGCAGGGAGCTTTTAACGGCTTCTGTTAGGTCGCTGCAGTGCATCGTGTGGAGTTAAAGAAGTTCTAATGGCTGTAGTGTATTTTCTTACAAGCCATTTACCACTTAAACCAACCCTTTTAATATTTATGGTGTTTACATTGTGCTCCCAGTTAGAGGGAATGCTGAGAAGTCCATAGCCTTCCATTAAGATGTGTATACTTAATGAATGCTAATGCGATCTTTATAAATGGAGCTCTTTCCTAGGCTTCCTCCTGCTTGTTTGCATTTTTGCGCTGTGAGTCAAGTGGGTCATTTCTGTTACGCAACCCGAATAAGCCCACTGTGACCTTGATGTGACAGAGCCTTGCGTGACACGATGGTGTGATGGCAGGGCACACGGCTCCTTTTCGGCATTCCAGAGCCTCCTCTCTGTCCTCTTCACTATCACTGCTCATTTTTAATAGTTGTAATCGTCCCCTGCCCCATTTCCTCGCTCCCTCAGCTTGAGATGAGTTAAATTTAGTTCATGCTGCCAGAACACCACAGAAAGCTGGTTTCTGATTGAGAAAATAGGACATCAGAAAAAAGGCTGCATCAAAACCTGACTAATCGATCTCTTCACAACTCTCCCCTTCCCTCCTCTGCAGGGAATTATGGCTTCCTGGATCAGATCGCAGCTCTGAAGTGGGTTCAGAAGAACATCCGTGTGTTTGGAGGAGATCCTGGCAAAGTTACCATATTTGGACAGAGCTCAGGTATAAACAGTATTAAAAAAAATCATTAAAAGTGTCATCGGGACATGCTGTGACACATGCAGTCTCAAACTTACCCTAAAGGATTGAATGTTTTATGTCTGTGTCCTAGAAAAGATTCGATCTAATTAAAAGAAGAGATACAATATATTAACAGGAACACAGATTAGATCTGTCATGTGATGTTGTGATTATAAAATATAACACTCACTTATGTTTTCGAAGTTACAGCAGTAACTCACTTGCTAGTAGAGAATGTGCACATTAAAGTTATTTATAGTGAATGCCCAAAGCAGTTACAGCGATTTGATCAAATCTACAGAAGCATTAAAGACACTGCCAGAGTCGTATAACATTTATTTAAAAGACAAATCATGTTAAGCACTGATGTGCTGGTAGTATTTTGGTCAGTATTGTACTGCGAATGAACGCAGTGTATACTGACATAAAGAAAACTGTCATTTGAAGTAAAAACAAAAAACTGATAAAAAGAGATGGGTGTGGTGTCAGCGTTTTCCACAGTATTATATTGTATTAATGGCAGTAGCAAGTATACTTTGTATACCTTATGACCATATCATTTAAACAGGGCGATAATCAAACCGTCTGCAGTGGTAGACATTAGAGTCCTGTGGAAGTACATGGTCACTGCTTAAATTTGATTGAAGAGGCTAACTGGCAGCTAGGTAATGCTAATGAAATGCCCTTGATTAACTGATCATTGCTAAAGTATCTATAAAAACAGAAGCTGTGGCAGTTTACTGGTTTGGAGTATTCAGGCGGATGTTACCAGTGTCAGAGTCTTAGCACCCCAGCAAATCCCTGGGTCAAACCCTCTGCCAAAGCTCAGAGAAACTGTAGAACACCAAAGAGCTACACTTCAGACTCAGTTGGCTTCACGAAGTTTGTGACAGAAGAATTAGAAAAATATTGAACAAAATGGCCTTTTTAGAAGGGAAAATGGCAGCAAACCACTGAACAAGAGCTCTAGAACAATTTACTAACTGCGGTAACGTATTTTCCGCACTATAAGGCGCACTTAACATCCTTTAATTTTCTCAATAATCTACAGAGTGCCTTATGTATGAATTCTGGTTGTGCTTACTGACCTCGAACTGATTTTATGTGCTACACGGCGCTCAAAAATCTGTCAAAAATGTTTTAGTGCGACTTTGGTAAGCTACGAAGCCGCACCGCTTGATCAGTGTTGCCAACTCCTCAGGAAGGAAAATCGCTATTGGTTGTCCTAAAAGTCGCCAGATTTGTCGCTAGTTGCATTTTAGAAAAAAAGTCGCTAAGGGGGTCTGAAAACTCGCTAAATATAGCGACAAAGTCGCTAAGTTGGCAACACTGCGCTTGATGGATTGTTGGAGCATCGTCAGGTGCCTCACGGAGTAATCAGTGTCCTAAACTCCATCTTCTTCAGGGCCCAAAGTCAAACGAACCCTGCAGCATCACTGAGAGTTAAAAACTGTCTAAATTCTTTCATCTTTAATAAAATCATCAGCGTTGCTGCTTTACCAGGTGTAACAATTAAGTTTAACATCCAGGCATTTAACGGAGTTAGAAGTTAGCAGGAAGTTAGCTCGCTAGCTTCCACCTAAGCATGATATAGCATGTTCTGACTGAGAGATTTCTGAAAAAGTTCAAACGTGCACCTCTGCTATCACTTCCAACATAAATGAAGACAGAAAACTAAACAGCAGTGACGTTTGTAGGGTCACTGAAGTTTGGCTAGCTGGTATATAAGGATGTGCTACGTGATCGCTAGCGACACAGCTATGTTAGCATAACATAAACACAGTGGAGGTGGAACGTTAACTCTTTCGACTCGATAAAAGTTAACGTGAGGGTTCCCAATGGTTAGGATGCTGTAAACGGACCAAACTTCAGTGAGGAGAACAACTGAGATAATCCATCCACAATATGAGGTTAGGTTATAATCCGGTGCACCTTATGGTCCGAAACATACGGTATATGCACCAATCTGTGTGTGAATGGTGCAGATGCACAAATCAGCAATTTATGACTATGTTCATACCAGAAATTTCAAAATGCCTTTTGCAGTGCAGCCTGATGGAAATGCTATCACAGAACCTAATAAGAACTGCAGAATGCCACAAACCTCAATGAACTGCAGCGATCTGTAAACAAGAGTGGGCCAAAATTCTTCCACAACCACATGAAAGATAATTACTTGCTCCTAAAAGTCCTGAAAACATAAGTGTACACTTCACATCTTTTGGGAGAGTTTGAACGTGCAGGTGCTTGCTATGTTGTCTATGTATTTAATAATAAGGTAAACCAGTAGAACCGCTCCATCACCTGCAACCAGCTGCTGCTCCCATTTTTGTACTTTGCTCTCCTAAAGGTGGAACGTCAGTGTGGACCCTGATGATGTCACCATTAGCCAAGGGTCTCTTTCATGCAGCAGTGGACATGAGCGGCTCGTACATTTACAATGCGACCCTGGAACAAGCCGAGGTGGACAACCTGGCGTTCCTGAATAAGACGGGCTGCGGAGATCTGGCCTGCCTGAGGCGCCTCTCTATCGGACAGGTCCTGCAGGTAGGGGGAGGAGGAGGCAGACAATCAATCCTAACTGGAGAGCCTTGTTGTAAAAAATCTGTGAAAGGCAACGAAGCTATCACAGTAATAAAAAATCTAATAACAGAAAAACGTTAATTTCTGTAATATTCTCCTTAATGTCTAAAGATATCAGGAAATATCTCATTCGTAGCTCATCTATCCAAACGGTTCTGACATTTTGATCAAAATTAAAATTACATTTTTCATTTTGATGGCTCATAATGTCACGTCCAGGTGCCAAAAGACCTGGACATCTCTAATTTTCCTATGCAGTTGATGAATAAATGGGACACTAAATATAATTTGCAGCCATGATTACAGGCAGCTTTCCCTCAAACACCACTGAGCTTCATTAAACTGAGGATCCTCTGATGAGAAGAGAACCTGTAGGTACATGAAGAGCTTCATTTCAACATGACGATGACCCCGGGAGGAATTATGAATAATGTATGTCATGAAATGATGATGACAGCTGAACTTTTAAAACTGTGACAGTCATCAGACTGCAGGTTACTGTTATTAGGTTTTTAAAATGTCAAAGTAAGTGATTCAAGATGCCACTCAGGAGACTGGAAAAAGAGCAGTTTCCGTCTTATTTTACCCCGTAATTCTGTTAAATACAAATTAAAAAATAGTCGTGTTTTATGAAAGCGAAACCTAAACTCACTGTGGACCAGTCGTCTTTACATACATTGTGCTCCTCTCCTGTCCAAAAGAACCATTAAGATGAATATAAGTTTGTTTCCTTCGTCTTGAATCTTATGCTAAAAACAATAAGCATGTATTCCTAGGCCATCCCATGGCAGGAGTACCCCTCCTGGGCAGCAGATGAGATGACTGACCTCCCCACCAAAGGGAAATCCATCGGCCCGGTTGCAGTAGTGGACGGCTACGTCCTCAAAGCGCCCCCTTTTGAGCTGTGGGAGAAGAAAGGAGAGCACAGTGACGTCCCTTTCCTTGTCGGAACAACAGAGCAAGAGGCTGACTTCGCGTGAGTTCACCTGCTTCCGTTTCTCCACATTCAGCTTGTGCTGAGATGAGTCTCCACTTCAGTGCTGTGTTTCCTCCACAGTCCTCCATCTACAAACATCTCCGAGTGGACCTGGGGGGACTACACGTGGTTCGTAACAGGTAACGGCTTTAAAGGGGGTGTAACCCAGGTTTTTTTTTGTAGACGTCTTCTAAATTTATCGCATGCAAGCAACCATGGAGCCACTGTGCTGGAAGAAATGACTGCTATGGTAAAATGGTACATGGCCTGTATTTGTATAGCACTTTTCTAGTCCCTAAGGACCCCAAAGCGCTTTACACAACCAGTCATCCACCCATTGGTGATAGCAGCTACATTGTAGCCACAGCCACCCTGGGGCGCACTGACAGAGGCGAGGCCGCCGGACACTGGCGCCACCTGGCCCTCTGACCACCACCAGTAGGCAACGGGTGAAGTGTCTTGCCCAAGGACACAACGACCGAGACTGTCCAAGCCGGGGCTCGAACCGGCAACCTTCCGATTACAAGGCGAACTCCCAACTCTTGAGCCACGATCAAGGATTCTCTCAGAGATTGTAGCCACTTGGCTTCAGGGAATTAGACCAAGATCAGGGTTAGTGCTTTGTAGTTTGTAGTGATGGTTGAATGAAGTCACAGGAGGCTTGGGAATTTGATTGAGAATATTTGAATCATTAATGAATCAATATCTTTACAAACATGGCCCAATAAACATGCCTGTGTGTGTGTATTGGTTGCACCATAGAGCAGCGGTCCCCAACCCCTGGGCCACAGCCTGGTACCGGTCCGTGAGTCATTTGGTACCGGGCCGCAAGAGTTGAGGCTCCGGTGTGAAATTTATGGTTTTCAGGGTCTTTTCCCGTGATGAAGCTGTGTGTCTTGTTTTGAAAGAAATATTTACGCGTTACCATAGCGACCAGAGAGCATTAAGGTGCAGAGAGGAGGATGTTACTCTCAGTGTTGTTGGCGCATTTCAGGAGGACGCTGCTAATAAAGTTACACAATTACACAGTGAATTCGCGTTTATTATTATATTTACAAAATACCACAGTTTTTGTCTCGGTCATATCATTTTATTTTATTGTATTTTGTTGCACCTTAATGGCCGGTCTGTGAAAATATTGTCTGAGTCAACTGTTAACCACGCTCTTGACACTGAAAACTAGGCTTTACCTCACTAAGCCCAAATCCAGTTTCATAGTTCAGGCCACTGTTCTGTTTGATTGCATCCTGCTCACTGACGTATGATGCCAGGGACTGAAACTGAGTTTAAACAGGAAAATCTGTGTAAGCACTTCACATGATAACATATTATGTGTGGACTGTATATGTCTGTGTCGTTTTCCTCTCAGCTAAACTTAAGTCATTCGGCGACGGTCTCGTCAAGGAGGCGTTGCGGCTGTATCCATCTTCAGCCTGGTGTCCAACCAAAGACCGCTGCCCAGAGAGGTCCTATACCACCATGGTGTCTGACATCAGGGTCACCTGTCCCAACAACGACCTGGCCCAGAGGGCTGCAGGTAAACTCATGGATCACTGAATAATATCATGATTATGATAATAAAATTGATAATAGGTTCTCCCATAATAAGAGCTTTAACCCAGATGTGCAGTGCTCAGTGATGATTAAGTGGCAGCTGGAAAACCAGCAGGGTGGATCATCTAAGTGTTTTGAAGTGGAGGCCTCACCATGGTTACTGCAACTGGTTGAATAAAGTTTGACCAATTTCTGACTGAATTGTTATTTCACAACACCCAATTTCCATCTTAGGCTTCACTTTGTCTCCACTCTAACCAGTATATGTGGGGGATTAGAGTTGAGTCTCTCTAACCCAGACCTTCCCAAAGTGTGGGGCCATGGCAGGGGGGGCGCAGGATGAAAAGGGGGGGGACAAAACGCTTGGACACTGCTAGCACAGGCGCCTACAGAAACGCAAAGCAGGAGATGAAGCATCGTTGAATATGTTTCCAAACCAACTTCATTCTAAGCCAAAGACTAGAAAATATGGTGAAGCAAATCTTCCCTTTGGTTTCACCTGCACAAGTGCCGAGGTAGGTCTCCCTGCAGGATTGGTTTTCCCTTCATGGGGAGCAGCGCTGGGCTGTTTAAATCACGGACAAACAGAATCCCACATTCGTGATTTTTAGTTCAAACACTTGTTGTAATGACTAACTACTCCTGACATTTTGGAGATGTTAGCTCTTTATACAGTAAAGTTACAGCGGGATACAAATAATATCAGGCTGATCCTGTCACGATGTTTCCCGCGGTTCAAATCACAGACAAACAGCATCCCACAGCTGTTTATGTTTTTAAACCCATTTTGCACAGAGAGGCATTTTTTTGAAAAATGTATTGATGCAATGTTGAATATTATTATACAGGAAAAAAAAAGGCTACACGTAAAATAATCACATCGTGACGCCTCTGCCTTTGTAAATGGAGAGACAGTAACTGCTTGTGTATGTAAATGTGTAAAACCTGCAGATAGTCAGATTAACAGTATTTCGTCTCTATCTGCCATTCTGCAATTCATCTCATGTAAACAATAATGTGGCGCACAGCGTGACGTGAATAAAGGCACATACCTTTGATGTTGCGTGACGAACTCTGTATTCCTCGTCCACACGTGAACGCGAAAAAGGAGTTTTAAAAGAATCTCAGTTTTCGGTGATTCCAAACGCCGTTTACGTGGACGAAACAGCTGCGTTTTCAAAAATACCCGTGTAGGTGTGGACGTAGCCTAAAAGAGTTAGTAGTTTATTTTATTACTACCTGTAATTTATTGCAGGTTACTTGTGTTTGCTTAATTGTTTACTAAATGTTTGAGGTGTGAAATAAACCGCAATGAAGCAAAATATGGGCGTGTGTGGTTGGAGGATGTGTGTGTGCGTGCGCGCGTGCACGCGGGGGGGAACATTTTTCTGTAAAACAAAGGGGGGCCCAGCAAAAAAAGAAAAAAGTTTGAGAACCACTGCTCTAACCAATCACCACATCAGTCAAGATTCAGTCAGCACGCTTAGTCAATATACTGGTTTATACCCTTATTGTAAGAGGCAGAGGAAGTAAAAGCTGTCTACCTTTCCTTGGCTGCAGTGCTCAGCTTTAGTCTTGGCCATGGCCCTGGTAGCTGCCCTCTTGCAGCACACTGTCTTTTCATTTATTCTAGTTTGGAGATGATGATGATGGATCCCCACACACATTCATTTAGAAGCAAAGATGTGGCTATATTAAACTTTATCAAAGTGTAACATATCCCTCATATTGATAATATTGATCCATCACCCAGAGCAACCCTACTCTGACATGTAGTTGAGTAGAAGAAAATCTAAATATTACAGTAAAAGTATCTGAGAACAGAAGTTATTTGCTTTCTTTGTTTCTTTGCTTTGTAATCTTTACTTTATAATACTTTCTGATATATTTATTGGTTCTTAGTGAGAGCGACAAAAGCTGAGTGTTTTTCTCTGCTGATACCAAAAGTGAAGTGATCTCCTCTGACACATTAGTATAATGTAACACAAATATATGTTACAAGTCGTTTTCTTTTCACAGTAGCAAGCCCCCTTCCTTCCTTTGCAGTATGGCACCATTGTGCTTCGTGTAGGTTTGGTGTCAGCGGTGAAACTCTGAGTAAAGTGACATTTAGCTGTTGTGTGAGGCAACTGCACGGCTTCCTGGGTGATTTTTCTTCCACTTGCTTCATTGGGTTTTTTATCTTGTGCAGCTTGGTTTTTTTTGTTTGTTTTTTTGTCTTTTCTTTCATCTCTCGCTGAGTCACAGTCAATCTGGGCTCGAAATGACTGATAAATGGGAGATTCAAATGGAACCTACATGTTGGTTTCAGCAAGAAATGAAACATTGCTTGTGGCTGAAATAATAGAAAAAAGCTTTTCAAATAACATTTGACTCTAAAAATGTACGTAACACCAAAAAAACACAGTTAGGTAGGTTTTATGTTTCTTAGAACAGAAATATACCGACTGTATGTACTCACATTACACTTTCATTGCATATTAACATTTTTTGTTGCTATATACTTATTTTCCAACAATTTTCACACGCCCTAATTTGCCAAAAGTATTCAGTCACCCAACCAAATCCCTGAAGGTTCAGGTGGTCTAATCACCTCCGTGGCCACAGGTGCATACACCCGTGCATGGTACCACGATAATACACCCCCTGTGCAACAAGCCCAGTCAGGAAATTTCCAGTCAACCTTTAGTGGTATTATAACACAGTGGAAGACCACATGAAATCATGGAGTGGATGTGCAGAGGTTGTTAACTTTCTGCAGAGCCAATCACTACAGACCTCCAAACTTCATGTGCTCGTCAGATTAGCTGAAGAACAGTTCATGGAATGGGTTTCCTATGCTGAGCAACTGCGTCCAAGCCTTACGTTACGGGATGTAACGCCACTGGACTGTAGAGCAGTGGAGACATAATCTCTGAAGTGATGAATGACACTTCTGTCTAGGATGTCACAGGGTGAGAAGCTGGGTCCTTCACAGATGGCCGTTCACTCTCACAGCCTTGTTAGCTAGTTAAGCTAACATGCACGTCTTTGGATTAAGGGAGGAAACTGGACTTTAGCCCCTGAATGTGTCACATGCAGGCAATTTGAAGTTTTAGCTTTAAAAACATGAATATTTCACAGTTCCAGCTGTTTTAAATCTTTGCTGCTTTTCAGGAAGGTTTGGACTGCTGCCCCAAGATTTCACAAGTGAGGGATCAGCAACAGTGTAGCTAAGCTTTTTATTTCATCCTGTCATGAGTGTCGAGAAAGAACAAAAAGTATGAGATGTCATTGGATGTCAAAGATCAACTTTTTTTGTATATAGTTCGGATCTCTGGAGGGAACTTCTATCCAGCTGGTCTTCCATCCTCGCTGACTTGCATCAGAGGTTTTGCAGACACATCGAATTGCTGCTAAAATAATCTCCCAAAAAATGTGTAATTTGAACACTCCAGTGAAAACTCCCTCCCAGACTTGTGCACTAAACGTTTGATCGTATTCGTGAATGTCAAGCATTAAAATATAAATCCAAACTAGAGTCGCTTCAACAAAGGCCCAATTAATTAATAAGCCAGAGGACAGATGGGTAATTTAAAACTATTTTTCCATTTAAGTTACTTTTAAAGTCCACGACTCAAACATTCCACTCGTATTCGCTTTAGTGTGTTGGTACATTTATTTCTCATTATATTGAGGAATGATGGTAAAAAGAATGTGGTGACTTCGCCTTTGGCTTCAAGAAACTATTGCAGACATTTTCAGTTTTCTGACACTGTGGAAGCAAAGAAATCATAAAAAAGATGTGAGGTCGCTTCCACCTGTGTAATGTCAGCAATGTTTGCGTAATTCAAAGTTTCTTTTGTCGTAAGTGTTTGAAACAATGTCAAAAGTGTTTTTCACATTTGACATTTGGTTGAAGATTCTTTTTCTTCAGGTGACAAGAGTAATTTTAATAACAACAATTAATAAAGAGGCATTGATGCTGCAACTGCAGGATTTGTTTTCTTTTGTGTTTATGAAGATAGAAAGTGGAACATTTACAGCAGGATACATTTGGTTTTTTGTCATTTTTGACAGTCTAATAAGCTCTTTTGTAACCATTTCTCAGCTGCTCTCAAAAGTCCGGTGTATCGCTACGTGGTGAGGCACACGCCATCCGGACCTGTCAACACGTCCAGCGACCTGCTGCCATTCCCCAGCCGCTTCTCCTTCCACTGTCTGGATGCCGTGGCGTTCTTTGGAGGGCTGGAGTTCATTTTAGGGAAACCTCTCTCCGATAAGGACCGGCGCTTTCAGGATCTCATCACACGCAATCTCGTCAGCTTTGCCAAAACAGGTGAGGGCTGTTTGTAAATCATAGATAAGAGAAGTTATTGTGTGTGTGGAGTTAAAATAGTGGATTCAGGGCTTCAAATAAGTCTTTGCAAGTAATTGCTGTGAGCCAAAACTTCAGGCTAATAGACAAGTTCAGATATCTCTGTGCTTGAGAATGAACAAAATGCCACCTGCCTAAACCTTCTGTTTGCGAGGTGCAGCCAATCAGAAGAAGAGGAATAAAAACAGTTAACTGAGGTGCTACACTTTGTGTTTTAAAAAAATTCAAAGTGAGCAAACCCTACTTTATCAGATGTGATGTGATGATGGCAAGAACCCGTCTTTTTGTATTTGTATTACACATCAGTGTTTGTGCTGCTCGCCCATCTCACTGCTGCCACTCAGGACCAGAAAATGACCCCTAAAATTCCTCTAAGGAGCAGAAGAGAACAATAAGAGAATAGGGTTGCTCTTAGCATCCGAGATAAAAGCAGGTTCCTAACACTAAATGGTGTTTCTCCTTCTGCACATCTCTATCAGCTGACCTCTGTGCCCTTTGTTAAGCAGTGCTCGGAGCTTGCTGATGTTCCTTTGTTCAGAGTACCTGTGAGTTAACTTATAGCTCATCCATCGAAAAATGTGATGTAAAAGACTTTTAGCCTTATGAAGGGCTCATAAGGAACTACCTTGGATTTCTCATTTGATGACTCAGTGTATTAGTGTGACGTGTTTTTTTTTTTCTTTGCCTTTGTACATTGAAATTCATGTCATCACGGCGTGTCTTTATTAAGCAGCAGCCTCCAATGCTGAAAAAATGAAACTGCATTACACCGATGGCAATTTGAGGCTGGCTCCCAAAGATTTTGGACTCCGTCGATAGTTTGCTGTTTTGCAACAAATGTAAGGTGGTGAGATTTTGTGTAGCTGATCCACTTGCTTGCTTTGAAGGGGTAAAGCCTGTTTGTGGCTGATTGCCAGCACATGGCTTTTACCCATCGGCTGTGTGCGTGTGCTGCAGACTGTGCCGTATCATATTGTGCACAATTTTACATGAAAGTGTCATATTGTCACATCATTGCTACGAGCACGCCATGTGTTTATATTTTTCAGTGTGGACTACAACAAGAAAAACCCAGGCGTGTCATACCACGTGTCCAATGATTGATTTAGTAAAACCGAAGCTACTCCAACAACCTCCAGCAAAGCACAACGCTTTGAAAAATATCCATGAAAACTGTTCTCACCAAAGGTGGGAGACACAAGCAGGTGGTGACTGAAAAGTTAAAAAATGACTCAAACTAATTCACTTGCTAGTCGCACTCCATATGACACGAAGAGCAAATGCTGGGTTGAAATGATGGATCCAGTTATATGATGGTAAAGGAGAGCTTCGAGTATTTTCTTTTTCTATATCATCAGTTGTTATCACACGTTTTCTCCAGATATTGACATGATTTTGAGGTTATATCGCTCACCCCTTAGCACACTGGTGGACAGTAAATGGTCGGACACACAGAGATGTGGGTTCATCTGAAATTCTGATGGACGTCCACTACTGAGACCCAAGCACACCCTCACAGGAGTGGCTGATACAACAGTGGTGACAGATGGCTACAAAGGGAGCGGGACACACGTTGACTCCACTAATTTCCTTTTTGCATATCACTTTCAGAGGCAGCCAAAAAGGATAAGGAACTGGCCAGATGCAGATTTAAAAAGGAAAACATACTGTACACTAGACTGTGTGGTGGACGAGGGGATTTGACCTCGTCCACCTCCCGCCTTGATACTTTTGTGCCTTAAAGTTGCACTGTTTCTCTTTACTCCTTGCAGGTAAGGTGGAGACAAAGTGGTCCGAGTACCCATCAGCCATTGCTTTCTTGTCCGACATCCTTGAGGTGGACAGTAACTACACCTCTCCTCAGTGTGATCTGTGGAGGAAGAACGGCCTGTATGCCTACGCCTGGATGAACTGAGCACAGACGGCAGCTGGAAGCCACTTTGCAGTTTCTCTGCTTTGTCTCTCATCCAGCTCAAATCCCACAGCAGCCGCTGTTAGTTTGAATCCTCAACAGAGATGAAACGTTTGTTTGAGGCAGCGTTTGATTGCTCAATCTTAAATCTATTATTTTAAAGTCCAGCAACAAGCCATATTTGTGTTTTAAATAATTTCTCACTTCATTCCTAGTTTAAGTTTGTGTGTTTTTTTTTTCCAGTTACATTTCAGTTAGAGGTGCAGGGAATTCTGGCTGATCCACAGGATGTCGCTATGGACTGTTTTAAAACTAACAGCTTTATATTCAAGGAAGCTTAACTTGTTTGCATTAGAGCGAGGTGAGAAAGACTTAACAGACTCTGGGTCTGCATAAAGTAACTGTACATTAAGTGTAAGTGTAATGGAGCAGACCAATGGGAGCTGCAGTGAACTTGGGTTGTTATGGGTTTCAAAGAAAACATGTTTGTGCCAAATCAATCTGAAACATGAATTGAAGTCCCCTTTATCTGGGTGCAGTCATGTAACATTACTTTAAAACACACAGGAAGTTAAACTACGCTGATCTGCTGAAAATGTTTATAGATCAAGAACAAGTTGGAACCCTCTTCAAAAAGCTCGTGAAATCCACTCGACCGAGGGAAAGTTCTTCAAGTCTGGCTCCTCAGAGCAGTTTTGGAAATATACAAAAGAAAGGTTTTTTTTCCTCAAATTAAGCTTTAAAAAGGTAAAACATTTGGATAAAGGCAGGAATGCTGTTTTCCTCCTCTTTATATGTAATATGATGAAACATTTCTAAACCTGGAGTCTCTAAGAAGAAGTCCCTGTTTGACCGCTCACGCTGTGCAGCAGCTTCTGTTTCTGACCTTTGAATGGTCATCACTGGGATGAGAGCGGGTCTGCTGCTGAAACTCAGCAGCCGTGTCAGCCAAGTCGGACATGAAGCGAGACCAAATTGAAAACAGAGGAAACACTTTGGCCACACCAACACAATCTCCTCTTATCAACTGTGCTAACTGAAAGATTTGCCTTCCTGCAACTTCATCCACTCACAAAAATGAAAATGAAAGTGAAGTGTCTTTCAAGGTTTTTAGAAACTGAAGAGAATCCAGTGCACTCTGCAGATGAATAGGTGTAAGTGGGGACTGGGTCTTTCAGAAAGTACCAGCTGCTCTGAGGGCAGTTCAGAAGCGTACAAGGAGACACATTTGATTTCTTCATTTTTATAAGCCAGAACATTTCTTCTCCAGCTGATATAAAGCAATAATAACCTTAACGAAGGCTCAGTGTGTCTCTCATCTTTGCAGATTGTTGCTGCTAAAGCCTTTAACTGCTTCTAATGTTTTTAAAGAAGTGCAAGGGTTCTTCAGATCATTTGTTTTCTAAAGACGTGCAAAGTCTTGTTAAATATATTTGAGAATACAAAGGAAGGATATCATTTCACTATCATTTCTGTCAACCTGGAATTTCGGGGTTTGCCAGGACACATCCAGTCCTGATGACTAAAAGGCTTTTCGAGGATTTACTTTGTGTCCTTTATTCAGATTTTAAATGAAAGACTACAGTTACATTCCTCCTGCTTCACAAAGTTTAGTGAAATCGCAAAATGAGTTAAAAAGAAATGATCTTAATAAGAAGCTTAACGCGACTTTGTAACCATTTGTCTAATGTCCAAAGTTCACTCAGACAGAGACACAAACATAGTTGTTACAGCTGTAAAAGTATGTAAGTACACCCAGGTCATTTTCACACGGACTCTTTGTCTGTATTTACAGAGGAAATATTAAGGTATGAAGGGAATATTTTTAAAAAAGAGATTTTTGCTTTATAATTTCAAGACAAATGTGTCTGTGTCATTTTCAACTGTGAATGTGCTGTTGAGTCACAGGATGTTAGTTTTGAATTTTGTCACTTTCTGCTGTTTGCACTGATTTCAAGCTTGGCCACTGCGAACATGTGAACACGTTTCGTTCTTTGTATATTTGATTTAATTTGTTTTGATTGGTTTTAAATGCTCGCTTCCTTTTGCTCCTCATTTGTTGTGTTGTTATGTGAATCCAATCAGCAGACATTATGTATTTAAAGATGTACCACATTTCCATTTTAATCAAACGACACTAATCATTGCCATCAGTTTGTTTTTATCTGCTTTGGTTTTGCATCGTGTTTCTGTTGTTTTTGGAAACAGCACTTTGATGATTATATTTGGCTGTGTGTTCATGTGTTGATGTTCACTTTTGTATGTTCAATAAAACTGCATCATGCTGACTGTTGTTAACCTGCTAAACTTGAGGATTAGTATTAGTAAATTAGTATCGTTCTCTTGGTTGGAAGGATGTAAAAGTTTTGTTTTGTTTGTTTGTTTTTTACAGTTGAATGAATTTCCTGTATTAACTGTCCAGTTTTGTTGATCAATACAATAAGAGTAGCACAAATTACCAAGTCAGAAATAAGTAGACTTAGTAAGGAACCAAGTAAGAAAAAATATAGCACAAGCTAAGGTTTTACATGTGTTTCTTTCTAGAAGCAGAGCAGGAATTTATCTAAAGAGATGCAGCTGAAATAAAATCAATATGTCTTTGATATAAAGGTCTGTTAGAAATTGTCACAGTTGGTGTGCGGTTGGGTAGGTTGAGAGCCATTCGCTGGCTAAATCGTGAAAGTTAAGATGGAATACTATTAAAAACCTCTGTCAAGATTCAAGATTTGTATTTGCCATTTGCGCACAGGACAGGAAATGCACAACAGTCCATCCACACTGGAATTGTTGTGCAGAGCTCTCTAGGTCAAGTCACATTTTTAAAAGGTAGAAACAGCAAATAAAGGAAAGTAGAGATCAAGCAAAGAGTGGAGCAATCTTCTAGTAGTATTCATGATATAAAAAGATTTATTTTTTTTTTAAAGTCCGGGAAGTTAGGTCTCCCGTGTTAACTCACAAAGTCCTGACAACGCGAGTATGAACTCGCATACTTGAATATTTAGAAACGGCTTAACAGTCTGCAGTCTATGAACAAGCTAACAATGTTAGCTCGGTGGCGAGTAGCCTTCAGTAATAGTAATAAAAATCCCACAGCAATAGTACATCGAAGATACTGAAGTTTCGTCCGTCCCATTCTTATGAAGTGGTGTCGGAAACGCATTCCTGCCTGTGCACTGCTGCCTCTGTTGTGCTGCCTCTGGGTCCATTGTGTAACTGACGCTGCCAACATTAACAGGACGCTTACATTAGAGCCTCTTATTGCGTGTTTTGTTTGGGTGTCCTGCAATCAGAATCAGAGAAACTGAATTAATCCCAGGTGGAAATAGAGTTATCCAACTGAACTGTTTATCCCATCGTACATTTGAAATGAGGTAAAGTAGTGCTGTGTTCTTTTTAAGTGTTCAGTGTCTTTTGCTTGCCATCAGTCTGACAGTTGCAGGGAAGAAGCTGTTGAAAAGCTGCTGTTGTTCTGTGTGTGATGATGCCGTCCGCTCTGTTGTGTCTGAGCAGAGAGTGAGCTGGATGGTGTGAGTCCCTGATTATTCTCTGCTCTTTTTCAGCAGCGTTGTTGTGTACAGAGAGTACATGGAAGGAGGCTTCGTGACCCTTTGCAGAGCCTTCCTCTCTGCCTGTGTGGTGGTCCCGTACCAGACAGTGATGCCTGTGGTGAGGATGCTCTCTACAAGTCCTCTGTAGGCCTGGGTGAGACGGCGATGATTCATGCCAGCTTTCCTGAGATAGAAATAAAGCCTTTGCTGGGCGTTTTTCACTGTTGCTGTGGTGTTGAGAGTCCAGCTCAGGTCTGATGTAACCTGCAGGCCCAGGAATCTGTGGTCGTTGGCCCTCTCCACCTCTGCCCCTTTGATGATAAGAGGCTGCAGGGGAGGGGGGGTTCTTCCTGAAATCAAGTATTACTTCCTTAGTCTTGTCCGTGTTGAGGATGAGGTCATTTTCCTCTCCATAGGCAAGAACACTGTCTACCAGAGTCCTGTACCCAGACTCGTTCCCCCCCCTTGATGAGCCCCAGGATGGTGGTGTCACCAGCATATTTCATGACGATGGAGTTTTCCTGGGTGGAGACACAGTCATGGGTGTACAGGAGTTTGGGGCTGAGGCAGCGGCCCTGTCGAGATCCAGTGCTGACGGTGAGCTCAGCAGAAACGTGCCCTCCCATTCTCACCACCTGTGGTCTGTCTGTCAAAAAGTCCAGAATCCAGTTGCAAGTGGGAGTTGGGATGCCGAGGTCTGTCAGCTTCTCCATCAGCTTGCCCGGGTGGATGGTGTTGAAAGCTGAGCTCTAGTCCAGCATCTGCTGCTCTCCAGGTGTTGCAGAGTAGCCATTGCTGTTGCATCATCTACTGATCGATTGGGACGGTATGCAAACTGGATGGGGGTCTATGGTGTCCAGGACCCTGTGGTTGATGTGTGTGAGAACCAGTTTTTTTAGACACTTCATAACGACTGGTGTGAGGGCCACTGGCCTGAAGTCGTTCAGGGAGGAGCTGTCAAGTCTTTGGGAACTGGTATAATGATGGAGGATTCAAAAATACATGGGACTACTGCCTGGGATAGTGACAGGTTGAAGATATCAGTGCACACAGCTAGTTGTTCCCCACAGGCCTTCAAAACTCTGGGAGGAACTCCATCGGGTCCCACAGCCTTGTGGGGATTCACTTTTTTCAGAGCTATGTGATAATAAAGATGACGTGGAAAATGCAAAGGAACACAAAAAATTACTTACCGACAGGTTGCTACCCCACCGCAGTGTTAAGGAAGATACTTTTACTGTGCCACATTCATAAATAAGCACATTACTCATTTGCACTTCAGATGTCCCATTAGTAACTTCTTATTGTTGTTTTTTAAGCTACTTAACATGGACCTATGGGTCTTTGAAGCTAAAATAAACTACTCAGTGAAGCAGTGTTGTGTTTACACAGAACATATAACACACAACAGCGAAGAACCATTTCAAATAGTATCTTTACTAATTTGTTACTGGCAGTCTGTCACAAAAACTGATATTTTGTTCATATTTCATTGGTTTCCCAGGTTAGTTTCCCTCTCAGACTTTTTTATATTTAGTTGAATCTATGTAAAAAATAAATGAAAGATTTAAAAAAAAGTCTGAAAGGCATAAAATAACATTTTGCACCAACAAAAATGCTCAAGAATGGTTTTGTGGTAAATGGATTGGTTCCTATAGAGTGCTTTTCTAATCTACCTGAGCACTCAAAACATGTTATACATTTTATCTAAGTGCTTTCTATCTAACATTCCTGCTCCAATGGATGCATCAGAGAGCAACTTGGAGTTAGTCTCTTGCCCAAGGATACTTGACATACAGACTGGAGCACCGATTAGTAGATGACCTGCTCTACCTCCTTGGCAGCAACCCCATTTTTCAGCATGATAATGATCCCAAACACTTTGCCAGTGCAGTCAAAGCATACCTGGATAGAAAAACAAACACTGGAACAGTATCAGTCATGGATTGTTCTCTCCAAAGCTCAGACCTAAACATTACTAAAGCAGTGTGGGAAAATCTGGACAGAGAATGGAATAAAAGGCAGCCAACGTCCAAAGAAGAGCATTGAATGTCCTTCAGGAACCCTGCAGAACTATTTCTGAAGACTACTTAAATAAATTGTAACAGAGTTCTAAGAGAGTTCAGGCTGCATTGAAGAATGGATGTAGCCATACAAAAAATCTAATTTAGTATTTCCATTCATGCTTGCATGTTTCAGTAAAGTGCTGCACCTCATTCCCATTCTCCTCGAAAAATATTAAGAAATGAAGGGCATGGAAGAATGGAAGAAAAGCTTGCTCCGTGCACTGCTGAAACAATCTGCAGAGGTTTCCATCGTGGGCTTATCTCTCTGTGAGGAAAAGCTATAAATGTGCCTGAAAAAGCCTGAAACACTTGAAACCCATCACTCACAAACGTCAGCTGACTGACCCTTGGAATCAGCAAAGAGCTGTGGAGCGATAGTATCAGAGCAATCCCTCGGACTGCATTCTTCTGGACAGAGAACTCTGATATTGTCCACTGGGATTGCCATACCTATCACAGCTGCAGTCTTCTGCTTCTTCTCAACCACCATTATGTCTGGCTAGTTGGCCAGTATGTCTGACTGGAACTTAAAGTCCCACAGGACCTTAGCCCTGTTCTTCTCAACCACTTTTGGCGGTGCCTCCCATCAGGAATTGGAGAACTGGCCTATTCTGTGCTTCTCTGATGTTGGCTTCCAGCCTCCTTCTCCATGGAGAGAAGTCCTGTCCCATTTTTTTTTAACATGTTATTGCCATGTAATTCAAAATGAGCTAATATCTGTCTCAAAATGACACTTTTTTTCAGTTAATCATTTTGATCATTTTGTATGTTTTTCTGTATTGTGTTGTGAATAAAATATAAGTTAACAAGATTTGCAAGTCATTGAATTTTTACTTACATTTAACAGTTTCCCAACTTTATTAAAGTTGGGTTTATATACATATAGAACTGTACTCGATCTAAAATATGATGACCATTTGAAATTTACATCCTGGCTGTAGGTGAGTGAGTGCTCCCAAAAAATCCCCCCCCCCCACAAAAAATGTCTTGAAAGTGGAAGTTCTTGATTGTTATTATATTAGTGGTATTATATTCTACTGTGCTATTCAGGAAAGTGAGGCAGAGACAGAGGTCATCCATGGCAAAGACTAAGTAAAGTCTAAGTGGTGCCATGACACCAGTCAGTCAGAAGTGCCAGCTTAATGCCAGATCAATATATATATATCTGACCTTTTACCAGACCAGAGGCTCATCCTTATGTGTAATAACCTAACTGAAACTACATGTACTATGTTGAATAAATGTTCTAATCAAGAACCTCTACTAAAAGCTTAATAATAGAATATAAAAGTATAACAGACAATTTGAATAACCTAGTAATTCAAATAGCCTCGTCTAACCTGCTCCTCAGAATAACTTTCGGTTTCAGTTCTGCAAAGCCTGCAACTTCCTGTCAACTGCAACTTAGTCTTTCTGAAAGACACACACACACTGTTTAAACATCTGAATGCAATATCAATGCTGCAGATTATATTATTAATGCAATAGTAATGATGATGATTATTTAACAATAGCAGTAAAATAATTTCCCTGCTCCACAATGTATATATATATATATATATATATGTAAAGAAATATATGTACATACATTTTTACAGCGTATTGTGTTCTGTATCCTGATTGGCTGTAGACCATTGTCACTCAGTCTCGTGCCGTGTCTCCTGTACAGTACAGAACTCGTTCA